ATTAGAAATTGAAGAAAAGAATGAATGTATACAATTATTTGGAATTAATTCTTTAGTAAGATTTTGTAAGAATAGCTGCAATAAAAAAGAATAAAGATTTTACTTGTGTTTTACTGACTATGCAAAAGCATTTGAATGTGTGGATCATAATAAATTATGGATAACATTGAGAAGAATTGGAATTCCAGAACACATAATTGTACTCATCAGGAACCTGTACATAGACCAGGAGGCTGTCATTTGAACCGAACAAGGGGACACTGCATGGTTTAAAATCAAGAAGGAAGTGCTTCAGGGTTGTATCCTTTCACCATATTTATTCCACCTGTATGCTGAGCAAATAATCCGAGTAGCTGGACTGTATGAAAAGAACATGGAATCAGGATTGCAGGAAGACTAAGTAACAATCTGCGGTACACTGATGACACAACTTTGCTTGCTGAAAGTGGAAATAACTTGAAGCACTTACTGGTGAAGATTAGAGTCTGCAGTATGGGTTACACAATATAAGGAAAACAAAAATCTTCACAATTGGACCAATAAGCAGGATTACAATAAATGGAGAAAAGATTGAAGTTGTCAAAGACTTCATATTACTTGGTTCTACAATCAGCAACAATGGAAGCCTCAGTCAAGGTGTCAGACAACATATAGCACTGGGAAAATTGGCTGCAAAGGACCTCTTTCAACTGCTGAAGAGCAAAGACATCTCCTTGAAGACTAAGGTGCACCTAACCCAAGCCATGATATTTTTCAATTGCCTCATATGCATGTGAGAGCTGGACAAGGAATAACAAAGTCTGAAGAAGAGTTGGTGCTTTTGAGTTGTGGTGTTGGTGAAGAACAGTGAAAGTACCATGGACAGCTAAAAGACAAATTTGTCCTAGAAGAAGTGCAGTCAGATTGTACCTTGGAAACGAGAATGGCTAGACTTCATCTCACATACTTTGGTCATGTTGTCAGAAGGGACCATTCCCTGGAGAAGGATATCATACTTGGTAAAGTGGAGGGTCAGCAAAAAGAGGAAGGCATTCAACAAGATGGATGGACACAGTGCCTGCAAGGATGAGCTCAAGAATAGCAGGGATCATGGAGCTGGCACAGGATTGGGCAGTGTTTCATTCAGCTGTACATGAGGTCAATATGAGTTGGCAATGGCTCGACAGCACCTAATGACAACAACAGCTGCAATAATCACATTGTTGTTGTGTGTTGTCTAATCTGCCCCTACTAATAGCGACCCCTTAGGTCAGAGTAGAATTTCTTTAAGTTTTGCTAAGCTATAATGTTATAGGAGCTGATTGTCAGGTCTTTTCTTCCATTGAGTGGCTGATGGGTTCTAACCTGCTGACCTTTCTGTTAGCAGTTAAGTGCTTAATCATTGAGCCACCAAAACTCCTTCAATAATCATAAAGTTTGATAATCTTTTCTGTGAAGAAATGTTAATCATCAACTTTGATTTAGTACAAATGTATT